CACATTACTGCAGCAGCTGATGCTCTAATCACAGTAAGCTGACATCAAGCACAGCGGAATATCAGCAGTAACAATGTCACACTCACATTTTTACATATTTCACATGCCTTTTACATTTTTATATCGGACAGTTGGTCGGTCCCACTCGGCCTCATCTTTAATGAAATATGGCATGCTACACAACAAAACATTCATAAGTATTTGCGTAAATACCATTTTATCAAAATTAAATCATAAAAATGCCATTAATTTTATCTTGTGTGCACTCACTGTGCTATTAAAACAAAATTAAATATTACATAATATATATTTTCTTATCTTTTTTAACAGATTCACTTGTTTAAATCCACAAAAAAATATATAGCTTTTCTCTGGGAAAAATGACTACTTTCCTCTGCAGAATCTATTTAATGATGAAAGTGAAGCAATCCATTACCAAGGGAATAAAGTTCTAGACCAAACAATCAAATAAAGGCAAATCAGCAATGCCCTGCTGACAGGCTTTCAGGATGTCAGATATCTCATAATCTGATTGCTGTGGGAGCAATCTAAGATATTTGATGTTGCAGCAAGATCTGACTTACATTCATAACACTGACATTTCATGTTGAAATGTGAATTGTGGGGCATATCAAAAAAGAATTACACTTAAATGTGAACTAAGCAGTAATTTGTAGCATTTTAAGTTATACAACTAAATAAACAAAAAGAGCAAAGATGGCAGTATTTCATGTACTTTGACAGGGATCATGCACCAGCTGACAACCTATAGTAGTTGCTGACGAACAGCTTTCTCTGAATATTATTCACCTCTTTAGGAAGCAAAAATACTGCACTTTAAAAATAAATCTGTGTATGAACTTGTGTTATTTTAATGTTATTTATATGCTATTTGTCAGACTCTGTTCCATGTCTCATGTTGTGTTTTCCTCCCCCACGTGCTCCAGTTTGATGATTATGCCCATATTTGGTTTTTCCTGTTCCTGTCTCTATTTTGTTCTATCAGTTCCAGCTGTGTTTAATTAATTATCTTATTTGCCTCCTTTTACTTAAGCCCTGTGTGTCCCTGTTTCTAGCGTCCGCTGTTATATGTCATTCTGTTCGAACGTCTCTCCATGTTTCCCGTGTTCCCTGTGTTCCCAAAAGCTATAATCAGTAGCTTTTGGGTACTGATTTGGATACCAAAATATCAAAGCTGCCTTCATTAAAACCTGTTGGAATTTGCATCACTCCTCATCTTCTCGCTCCTTCATTCCCGTGCTCCTTGTGTGAACCGTGACACTATTATAGTATTTGTTAATATTTTTAATTATATTTCAATTTTTCAGTTTTCCTTTCATTTTAGTTTTAAAGGTATCTTATGATGCGATTTCAAGTTTTCCTTTCTCTTTGGAGTGTTACAAGCTCTTGGTGCATAAAGAAGATCTGTAAAGTTGCAAAAACTAAAGTCTCAAATCCAAAGAGATATTCTTTATAAAAGTTAAGAGTCAACCACGCCCTCCTAAAACGGCTCGTTCTAACACGCCCCCACATATCTACATCACTATGTGGAAATATTAGCATAATGCCGCCCAAATATGCACGCAAAGAAAGAAGGCGTGGTTTCAGGAACAGCAGTAGTGTTAATGCAGCCATGTCAGGGAGACGCTGTGTATTTCAGTGCGAAAGCAAAAGCACTTTATTTGGCCTTCCGGAAGTAGATGCAATTAGGAATCATTGGTTAAGATTTATTTACAACAGAACAGCACAACCCAGATGTTCGAATTTGTGCAACGCATTTTATGGACAGTTTTTTGAACCTAGAAGAGTACAAGGCTGGCTGTGCACAAAGGCTATTTCTAAACAAAAACAAAAAAAAGGGGTCAATTCCGACTTTGACAATCTAGCGCTTCTGAATCAGCGACTGTAAGTATGTTTTGTTATTAGTTTAAGTATTTGCTGTTGACTGTTCAAATGCGGAGTTTTGCTCAGCGCAGAGTAACGCGTCGTGTGTGTGTGTGTGTGTGTGTGTGTGAGGGGAACAGGGTCACATCACAGGAGAGTGAACTGCCTGTCAGAAATCATAGCACGTCAGCTGTCTTAACCGCGGCTTGTGTACTGCATCATCACTGTGTCTGTCACGCGACTCTGTTGCCCTTTCGGGCTTGAACTGATGGTAAAACTAACGACATTATTAACTGTCTTGATATTTACTTTGAAAGCTGAAGCTCGCGATTATGGTAAGGGGAGTTACATTTCCGACGAGTGCTTGTGGTGTTCGGCCAATCACAATGCACTGGGTCAGCTGGACAATGAGAGCAGACTGCGCTTGTCAAAGGAGGGGGCTTTGTTGAAAACGACGTGTTTGAGAGAGGCGGGGCATAGAGGACCTACAATAATGTACAGTATTTGAAAAAGAATGTGTTTTTTGAACATTAAAGCATGTCAACATATTCTGTTACACCAAATACACAAAATAATGATCTTTAAAATAGCATCATATGACCCCTTTAATGTTAATTTTATTCTGTGCTTTTAGAATTTTCATTAGTTTATTTAAAATTTCCAATTTTCAGTTTGAGTAATTTTAGTACTCCAACATAAACTTATTTTAGTTAGTTGCAAAGGCAACATTTCAAATTTTTGTTGAAGTTTTTCATCTAACATTTACATTTTATTTAACATCAGCTTCATTTTGTTTATTAACTTTTTTAAATAGTTTTAGTTAACAATAACAATATCGTTATGAACCTTGTGCCACATGAGAGCAGTATGTAGTCCGTCAGAAAAGAGCACTTGGCTTTTAGTCGTAGTGTTTATCTTCCTTTGTGGAAGAGAGATGCGTTTCCTATCAGATTGCTTTGTCACAAACAGACCATCTCCGTCTCTCATCCTCCTGATCAATCAATGAATATTTCATATGCCATGTGAAGTAACACATTATTTATTGACAGGGTCTGTTGCATAATCTCTAACCCAAAACACAGCATTTTCTGCACGTTTCTCATGCTACACCAACATAAAGTCGGTAATCAACATGAAAGGTGTCACTGATATCATTTACAGCACTATATTTAGTCATCAAGCAGATTCCATATCATTGTATATATCAGATTGGCCTGTTTGATATTATATGGCTTGACACTTACAGATTAGCCTTACTTTTTGATACAGGCAGTGTCCTAATGTGTTTATACGATCAGCCTGTAAGACTGATTTTTCATAGATCATTCAATTTCAACCTAGTGAGAGACTAGTCTGAGTCTGTTCACACTGGGTTTAATGATAGACTGAGTATGTCCTTATTATAAGTGCGGGTTAGACACAAACTGACACATGCTAATACTCTGATACCGTCAGACCAGCCCCAGGGCAGTATGATTTTTCGGCTCTAGTGCACTTATGCCCCCAAAGCCCATCTTGCCTCTGGGTATTTTGCTCCTCTATTACTGTAGCCATCAGTCAACCTGTTCTGTACCACCTGAACCCATTTCTTCACCCAGCACCACTGGCACATACCTGTATACTCAAAATATACACCTAAACCTGAAGAAGAAAATATCAGGTTAGTATTATATGTCTCGTTAAAGATATATCTAACATAACATGTTGTGTGCCACCTGTTTTTCAAAGCAAACCAAACTGTATTCCAATTATCACATTTTTTAATGCTACAATCACATTGTCTTGATCTGTTGTCTGTTAGTCCAAAACCAGACTGATATGATTTCAGTTAGAATAAACTTTTCTGAAACTGAATTTTTAAAATGCCTGTAAACTTTACTGAAATAGTAATTTGGTAACAAATTAGGTGCAGAATGAGCAAAATTTCAGCACAAGTTTGTGGTCATTGTGCAGTCAAAGTCACTTTCAAAACAAACTGCTTTGCCGACCCATTTAGAAATCTGTAAATGTGACCACACCTTTACATTTTACCTCTTCAACCTTAGTACGGCAACCAAATTCTGTTTATAGTTCAGTCTAGTCTGGTTTACCCACCAACCGTGCCAGCTTCCATGTTACATGGACGCTTTAAAACAGAACAGAAAAATACAACAACAAAAAAAATTTTTGTAACTTTTTCCATCCACATATTTTAAGCAAATTTTGGGATACTGAATACAAATGCTAGATGGAAACTCCAAGATGTGCATAAAATCTTAAGATGCACTTAAAAACGATTCGTTCAGTTGAGGCGGTTAATTTTGTAAAAATCTATAGTCTGCCCCGACCCAGATTCCACTTCATAATATATGTTTGATCATGCTCATTTCCCAAAATGGCTTAAGGGTAGTAAACTGTAACTGTAAAAAATGTTTGAACTTAGGATGTTCTGAGTTCATTCCGACTCCGTTGAAACCAAGGTACTACACGTACTTTGTCACTGCTATGCTGCAGTAAACATCTTCATCGAGATCTTCAACGTCCTCATCACTTTTTCTTACAATTTGTTTATGCTGATAACAAAAACATGCATAAAACTACAATGCAAACACATTTGCTGAATAAGTTCCTCACTGCACAACAACAAAAATGCAACTTTGCCTCAACAGATCATGTGACTGGACAATTGGACTAACCAGTGCACTAATCTCATTGCACACCAACTCAAACGGTGTTTTAATAATTCTGAAATACCTGAGGAAAAGTCCATCATCAAAACGAGTTTGTTCCTTCCAAAACTGTCTCATAAGATCAAGATCAAACATCAGGCATCCGCCTCCAAATGCAAGACATGGCAGTGTTTGTTATTGCATGTGTCACGTGTCATTTATTATGTAGGAAAAAGAGCCACAGGCTTCCCTGTTTGCAGCAACTTTAATTTTTATTATTGATACTTTGCACCAGGTTCCCAGCAAGTGACAGTTTTGTTCATGGGATGGAAATGGTGCTTATTTGCTCTCATGGTACAGTCCAGTGATCAATTGGCATGTACTGTAGGCATTTCAGACATAACTCTCACCACTGAATATGTTCACAAAAGAAAAACTGAATATTTTCACAAAAGAAAAACTTCTCACCTTCTGGAACTGCAGTGTTTCACCACCTCCTGGAGGCCCAGCAGATCCATCAGTTGTGAGCTGTGATGATGAGCACATCATGGGCAACAGAAGTGATGTCTGACTTATGGGGGCAGCTAAGGGAAAAGAAGCACGGTAGAGAGATAGTCCTATGAGGATAAAATACAAACAAACAAGGTTATTTAGATATCATCTTTGTCATTTAGAGATTTAATGAATATTATATTACATAACATTTTGGCCATGGAGATTTATGGCAGCATCTGCCTTGATGCATCGGAGTCATCTGTTTAAATAAGCCTTAATTTATTTTATGCAAAATGAAGTGTTGTTTGACCCATGAAAACAGACAAAGCAATCGAGGTAGTTAAAAGCAATCTAGATTTTCCATGAATCATACTAGACAACCTTATTAATTAGGTACAATAAAAAGATACATTTTTAATAGGAAACTAGAAGAATACTCTGCAGACAGATACCATTAAATCAGTGGCATGCGGTGGTCTTGTGAAATGAGTTGGCCCCTCTCTGCATTTGGGTGTTGATTTACATGTTTCTTGTGTATGTAACTTAACTCCATTTGATGTTTTCACAGTTAATCTGTTAAATGCATTGAATCAGCATTTAGCTTGTTACAAAATCAACAAGAAACTAATATTATAATATTTTGTACAGGTAGGTTTACATTACAGCTTGTTTCAACTGCTTACACACATTTTCAAAACGTTGACTCTTTTTTTCAAAACTTTACACACAAATCCAAGAACTGCACACACAAAATGCCTCACATCTCTTGCAAAATGAAGCACTGCATTCAAAATATCACAAACACATCTCAAAAGCAAACATTTGCAAACACCTTTGCCATAATATTCATTCCTGTTAGATTTTTTGTGTGCTACATAGAGAATTGCGTGTTGTGTTTTGCAAAAAGTGTTTTATGCAATTGAAAACTGAGTCAAAGGCCGAGAATTAGTGTATAGTTTTGCAGATTTGGTGTGTGGTTCCGTTGTTTGAGTGTCAAGTATCAGAAATTGTGTGACAAGTAAAGATTTTGTGTGTAAGCAGTTGAAAAAAAAAAACTTACATACTGTTTATTACAAGTAATTCAAAATATTAACATGCTTAAGCATGTTAATGCTTCAAAAGTTAAAAGTTAAAAGTGCATCTGCAATAGTATTTGATACTATTAATTGTAGTTATTGATATTATTATCAATTCACCTTGTTGTTGACCTCTTGATCCACCAATCGTTGTTATATAACGCAAATGTCATAAAGATCACAGGCACGGCGCAGCTTTAATCACACAGGTTCATTTCAAATTAGTTACATCCGAGTGTAGGCTAATTACTCTGTCCATTTCTACCAATTTGAAGCATTCGGGCCTATTTTTGATGATTATTTTGTCTTTTCGATTCAGGTCAGGGATGTTAGAATTACGTGATGACGCCATTACGGGATGACGTCAATTCAACCGCGCTAAATCTCGAATCAATTCATTAAAATGAACCACTCGAAAGAACCGGCTCGCGGAAATAAATCAGACTTATCACTCGTTCGCTTCTATTGACACGGTTCAGCCTGTCACTTGAGTCAAAAGAGATGTTATTCTGTAACCGATAGTGTTGCTGTTAGACAACAGATTACAATTAATCATTTAACATGTTAATTTTTTTTTTCGTTTTAGTTTTTACCTGTATAGAATAGATGATTGTTGTCATCTATTTTTATAAGACCCCACTAGACTGCATTGCCACAAAAACCCTTGAGTATAAGAATAAAAATGCATAGTCCAGATTTATCAATCCAGAGAGAGATGCAGGGGTTTATCTGTCTTGACCTGTTGCTTTACCTTAAAACCTCCCCTTTCCTGTATTGACGGAAGTGTTTTTGTCTTTCTGTTTTGGACATCCTGTTTGATTCCCACTCCCAACAGTTTCAGGGTACCTGTGCATTGTTTTACAAAGAACTGCATAGCTTTGTATTCAAATAGACAAGCATGAGATAGATTAATCAAAAATGGTTGCCTGTTGTCGCTTATGCTGATTTTGCCGGGGGGTCTCATCAGGATACAGAGAGCAGGCGTTTGTCACAGTAGGGTACACATGAAGACTCATTGTGCATGAATATGAGGCAGATGTTTATCAGTAGCCTCCAAAACGACAGAAAACATCAGTTGGTAGTTACTGTGCTGCCATAATGCACTCACTCACACATCTCATATAGTATGACAAGTTAATATGCGTATTGAAAATCAATGCTGCTGCAATATTGCTTGCTTATAGTTACGAGACCCTTGGTTTGGAGATGTGTTACATATTGGTTAAAAGTTTGGAATAATTACATTTTTTTATGTTTTTGAAAAAAAAAGTCTTAAGCTCACCAAGGCAAGGCGGAAATAATTTACAGTAATATTGGGAAATATTAAAATTTCAAATGTTTTCTATTTGAATCCAGTCACCCTTACCACATGATCCTTCATAAATCATTCTAATATGATGATTTGGCTCTCAAGAAATATGACCTACAGTGTTGAAACAGTCACTGCTGCTTAATATTTTTGTGGAAACACTGATACATTATTCACTGAAATTTCTATTCAGCAAAGAATCCTGGAAAAAATGTATCCACAAAAATACTGAGCAGCAAAAACTGTTTTGCTGAAACAAATGCTAATAATAAGAACCATTATTAATAAGTGAGCACCAGTAGTAACTGATAATAACTGAGCACCAAATCAGCATATTAGATCATTTGACACTGAAGACTGTAGTAATGATGCTGAAAATTCAACTTTGCCATCACAAGAATCAATTACATTTTAAATAATACTGTTTTTACTGTATTTTTGATCAAATAAATGCAATGTTGGCGAGCAAAAGTGACTTCTTTCAAAAAATATTTAAAAATCTTCATGATTAATCCAAACTTTTGCTTAGTAGTGTACATAAGTCAACTGTGAATCAAATCAAAAGAAATAAAGACAAATACATAGAGAGCATTAATCCCAACATTAAGTATTTTTGTTACACAGTTTTTCTTTTGTGATGAATGTTTAGATATTTTTGACTGGAAAACGACAAAAATACAAAGAAAATACATTTGCAGTGTAAATGACAGGCAAATCTGCAGAACATTTCTGAGAACTACAGTGCAAAATCCAGCAAGAACATACTTTATACCAAGATCAAATTTTCCATTCGGTCCACTTGGAATTAGATGTCTATTTTACATTATTTATCAATGCAGTTTCGCATCTTGTGAAATGAGACGCCACTCGCCACTCATCAAAACGTCTACACACACACACAAGTCTCTGTCTGTCTCTCTGCATTGGGCAGGATCAGTCTCACACTCTGTCATCTGTCCTATGCGACATCCTGGCATACTCTTCTCACTCCATCCTCGGAGCCGGAGTGCGGAACAGTGGATGTCTCAGCTCAGGCGTATCATGGTTAATGCCACATGTGGTGCTGCAGCAGCCCTTGCAGATTTTGACAAAGAAGAGTGAGAGAGAGAACGAGATGGAGAGAGGATGAGTGCAGGTTTAGTGGAGTCTGGAGAGCTCTGGCATCCCCAGCGTGGGCAAGTCTCCTTGTACCTGACAGCTTGCCTGCACCGCTTCAACATAACCTTAACAGCTTTACTGAGATTTGCTCTCCACACGGTTCAGTTCATTCATACACCCAAGAATCCAACACCCCTCTTATTCTGCTGCGATGTCAAGAGGTTGGGACAAAGAATTGGCTTGTGGTGAGAGACTCAAGCTTGTTTGGGGTTTTGCCACAAACTCTTAGAGATGCTGCTGTGAGATGAGTGATCCCTCCATCATGCAGACTCAAGAGTATTTATTGTCCAGTTCCTAAGCTCAATGTGTGGACTTTCTCGATCAGAGATACCCAAACCAGGGCCTGCAGGCCAAAGTTAGCATGCCATCTCAATGTTTGTTTTATTGGAATGTAGATAATATAGGTGATTTTTTTAAAAGGGGTCATATGATGCGATTTCAATTTTTCCTTTCTCTTTGGAGTGTTACAAGCTTTTATGTTTACGCAGCGCAATTCGCAACGCAACGCGTAAAAAGACAGTATAAGTCATTATAATCTGTAATTATGTCCCCACTGGATGCAACAAATGCCTCGTTTGTAATGGGTTTTGTTGTTTTTGTCTTGTCGCGCTGGGACACGGCATCACAGTATGGTAAGGGGCGTAACATTTCCATCACACGCTTGAGGTATTC